TCTCTTTTTTCAATTGATTGTTTTAACCTGAACCTCAGAAGTTCAATTAGAAGTAAAAGTCTCTCTGCTGAATGCCATCTGCATGGTACTTCCTGGCACAAACAACGTTTTATGACATTGTTTTCTGTATGCTTTCCAGTTTTAGAGATGTTAATATGAAAAAATATGCCTTATAATTTATGAAACGTGGTACATAATTTTTCCCTTTTGGATGGTCTTCAAAACTTAATTTTGATAATTATAACTCTCAAATAAAAGATGTACAACTAGAGAATTGTTCCAAATCTGTCATGCACATTGGCTGCAGGACGGCTACAATTTTAAGTTTGAGATAGACTGGAAGGAAGTAAAGAAACTCATCATGCAGATTTCTGGGGTAGAGGAATCAACCTGCCCATGTTTGGTATATACAACAAGAACAAGAAAAGCACAGAGTGGAAGGAAAAGCACCAGTGATGAGGTCAGAGGGAAGATGCCAGACAAACACTGTACAAGCTCCAGGCTTTAGATGGGACATCGTATTATCTCAGCTACAGGCTGATATAGCCTAGATTTCGAAAGGATCATTCTGGATATTAGATTGGAAATGCATGGTAGAGGAATGTCTTAGTCACTGTTTTATTCTGTGAAAGGGACACTATAGCCAAGGCAACGCTAATAAAATATTTAATCTTGCTTACAGTTTCAGAGGGTTATTCTATTACCATGGTGGAGAGCAGACAGGCATGGCACTGGAGCAGTGGCTGGGAGCTTTACATTCTGATCCAAAGGCAGAGAGTTAGACTCCGGGCATCCTTCACCTCCAGTAACACACCTCCTCCAACAGAGCCACACCTCCCCCAACAGAGCCACACCTCCCCCAACAGAGCCACACTTCCTAATCCTTTCAAGCAGTTCACCAACTGGGGACCAAGCATGCAAACAGATGAGCCTATTAGGGATGGGGCAGATATTCATCATTGAAACCACCACGAGGGACGAAGGTGAACACAGATAAGCCAATAAGCATTGCATATAGTTATTCGGAAGGGCTAGAGTGATGGTAGATACTGCCAGAGTGAAAAGAAATAGCCAGACCAAGATACATGTGAGAATTTAGAAACAAAGATTCCCTGACCACATGGATATGAAGTGTGGAGGAAAGAAGAGTCAAAGATGACTCCAAGACTTCTTTTGTTTTCACCTCATGTGTATGTGTGTGTGTACATTCCCCATTATGTGGACACACGTGTGAGGATGCATGTGTGTACATGTGGAGGCCTGAGGTTGATGTCATGGTTTCCCTCGATCACTTTCCAATTTGCTCAGTAAGGCAGGGTCTTTCTCCAGAACCAGAGAGCAATGACACTGTCAATCAGGCCAGCTAGTGTGCTCTGGGATCCCATCCCCCTCTCCCACAAGCTGGAACTGCACGTGGACTTTGACCTGGCTTTTATCCGTGTGCTGGGGATCTCAATTCTAGTCCTAAAGCTTGAACGGCAAGTCCTTTTAACTATGGAGTGATTTTTCTCCAGCATCTCTGACACTTCTTATCTGAAAACAGGAGAGTGGGCCCTGCCACTGATAACAGGAAGGAAAGGTGGACATGTGGACATTTTTAGAGAAAGCCACAATTCAGTGGTAGAGATTACTGCTGGTATACTAGTGCAGCATTCTGGGTGTCAGATATAAAGTCATCCAAAATCAGTACCTTCTATTTCTCCAGAACCAGACACCTTAAGTAAAGCAGCTGGATCATAGAGGTTTTAAAGAGTACTGACAAACTGCTCTTCAAACTGTATGCTACGACCATGTATTAATGTATTAATGCCCCTATAACCACACTGATTTTACCCCATCTTCTTTGGTTGGATTTGTTTATTTAATTTTATGTGTATGAGTATCTTCCTGAGTGTGTGTATATGTGTACCACACGCATGAATGGTGCCTGTACAGAGTCTTCAACATTTTCTTCAAACTCCTCAGTATAGGTGCTGTGAACTCACAAGTGCATTTACTTCCACATTGTCAATTAATGGCACCAAAGCCATTAGTTTATCCTTTATGCACTGATATTCAATGTTTCCTGAGTCACGCAGATTCAGACAGTTTAATCTTTTCATTGATCTCAGTTTGGCCCTATACAGCCATGTTGATAGTAGGTTTTTTCTTCCCCTCTCTTTCTCCATTTCCCCCCCTCCCTCCCTCCCTTCCTCCCTCCCTTCCTTCCTTCCTCTTCTCTCCCTCACTTTCAGACAGTCTCATGAAGGTCAGACTGCCTAGACATTACTCCACGGCTGAAAGTGAACGTGTGACTCCCTTGGCTTCACCCTCTCAGGAGCTGAGCCCTGCATACATGTGTCACCAAGTCCAGCTAAACTCATTCCCATACTATAATTTTGCTTTTTGAAGTTTGTTCTGTTTTGGGCAGTGATGAGAATGAATGCAGGGCCTTTGTTTTGTTTTGTTTTGTTTTAGGAAGATAAAAGCAGAAGGGAAAACCAAAATAACATATTAATCATAAATATGTATATATTATATTTAGCAAAAAAATTACTAAATACAACGCTCTGTTTTTAAGTAATAGAAATTTTTCTCATAAATAAAAATTTGAAAATCACTAGTTATATAGATGTAATATTAATATTCTTTATACCAATGTAAGGTATGCATATACCCTGCATTAGAACTACTGAATCAGGCAGTTCTATTGTGAATCACATAAGGTTACAACCTTACTGTCAGTATGTAAGATCAAAGCTATCATCATTTTTAAATGATTTTTTTAAATTTAAATTTTTAAATTTTTCTGTGCAATGTTGTGTCTGTGTGAGCGTGTTGGATCCCCTGGAACTGCAGTTAGATACTTGTAAGCTGTCATGTAGGTGCTGGGAATTGAACCCAGGTCCTTTAGAAGAGCAGCCAGTTCTCTAAACTGCTAAGCCATTTCTCCAGTGTCCAAAGCTATCATCTTTGAATTGTGAATCTTTTTGGCTTGAACTAGCTATTAGTTTTGTTAACTAAAAAAAGACCTAAAGCATATAAAGCATATAAATGCTAACATCCATATGCTTTTGCTAAATAGTTTTTAACTTTAATTTAATTTAATTTGAGAGACAGGGTCTCTCCATGAAGCCCTGACTGTCTGGAACAGGCACTACAGACTAGGCCTTGCAGATCACTAGCTATGTAGCCCCTCTGCCTCCTGAGTCCTGGGATTAAATGTGTGTGCCACCACGCCCAGCCTGCATACTTACTTATCTTAAAGTGTTAAGTATTTCTTTCTAAATTAGTTCCCCCTTAAAACAAAACAAAAAAACCCAAAACAACCCAAAAAAGTGAAATTAAATTCTTGGTCAAGCTCCCAAACAAAATGCTCTCTCCAAAGAGTCCAGTGCTCTAATCAAATCAGGCATGCAAAGCAATGCCTGCAGCTAGGGATGTATCGGGAGAGCGGGAGAGCGCTAGTCTGGCAGGCCTGAGGCTCTGCCTTCCACCTCCAGCAATGCTTCAGCCTTCATGTCTCTTAAGCCAACATGCTTAAAGTTTCAGTTTTTCTCAAGATCTAAAAAAATTAAAATATAAGCTAATTCTGAATAAAAGGCTCATCATTTTTAACACATTGTCCCATTTTGGAATAAAGCAGGCATTTATTTATACTAAGTATAGGGGTTATTTTTGCTTTTACTCTTGCGAACATTTTACTCTGCAATTAAAATTTAATCTTGTTGCAAGGTGTGGTGGCACATATATTTGATCCCAGCACTACAGAGGGAGAGGCAAAAAAACCACATGACATTGCTTCCAGACGGCATTCTTTCTTTCTGGGTTTGGTTTCCCTTGTAATCTCTTTACATAACAAAAGAGAAAGGGACCTAATTCCATCAGTTTATATTTTTTAGACACACACACACACACACACACACACACACGAACAAAACCCAAAACAATCAAAGAAAACACTAGTGAGATGGAATCAGAATAATGAAGGTTTATACTCTTGCCTTACGCATGAACTTCCTAATTTGTTAACATAAGTCACACAATGCACTCACCTATATTTTAGTTACTCCTCGCCCATCAAAAACTAAAAACTGTAACATTTTGGTTGTAAAATTTAAGCTTCAAGTCCTCCCATCTGTATTTAAAGAATGCAGATCAGTAATATAAACACATATGCAAATATGCATCTGCTTGTAGATCTGTGTGTAGAACCTGGGCAGTTCCTTCTATTCTGGGGCCTTTATGGTAACTGTGCCCTCCCTGAGGTTTGACTCCTTAATCTCAAAGTCTGCTGATTTGTACTCAGGTCTCTGACAAGCAGAGTAAAGCTAAACAGCTTATAAGGTGGCCAAACTGTGCATGGATCGTTCACGCCAGGGAAACATCTCCATGCATTTACATAAAGCTCCCTCAAAACGTATATAAAAGAATCCTTAGAAGCAAACACAAAATGTCCACTAATGCCTTTGCTGATATTACGCAGTAGACAAGAGAGTAGTAAGATGAGAAATGTTACATGTGGAGGGTACAGAGATGCTCAGTAGTGAGAATCACTTGCTACTCTTGCAGAGGACCTGGGTCCGCTCTCCGCACCTACCTCAGGCAGCTCACAATCACTTGCCTTTTCCAGCACTTGGTGCCAAGTGAGCCTGGCAGAAACACACACACACACACACACAATTTAAAAAATTTTATGGGTGCAATATAACTCAGTTATCTAGAAAAGCATTCAGAAATATAATGAATTATTTTGAAAATTTTTCATTTCTATTAATATGTCTACTTAACACCTGTGAGTATATTTATCCTTGAGGAACACTGGTTTTAGAAATCTTTATCATCAGTGAAAATAACTACTTCAAATTAATTTTCATATTAAAAATTCAGCATAAGAATGATTTTTATTTCCTATAAACATGAACTATGTCAGTATTTCCACTGTCTGGTTAAGTTAAATATTAAGATTCTTCCTGTCCTGAGGTAGCTGTATTAGCCACACACGAAGTTACAGCACTGACCTGTAATGGACATGAGTGACCGTCGGTTTCCTGTACCCCAGGATCCAGGTCTGAATGTCTATTGGTTCAGCTTTGGGATAAGCTATGGTTGTATCTATTATCCACTGGAGGCCTCTTGATTTGCATTCTGAAAGTAAAGAAAAAGTACAGTTGGGTGAGGTTTCTGTACCTGCAGCACAGAACTCACTTAAGCAGCTCAAGCATACTCATGTGCCTTTGTTTTGAGAAAAAAGGTGGACGCTGCTCCTGCTGTTCAACAGCGCTCTTAGCATAAAATGAAAGCATCTTACTATAAAGTACATTACTTCAGAACAAACAATAGAACACTATTATTTACTTCACAAGCTCATTCAAATTTTCAGTATAATTATACAATAGCAAGGTCTTATTATATATTATCACTCCTACACAAAAAACCCTATGAAAGGCCAGAAAGTAAAGCATACATCATAAAAATGAAAAGCAGACTTCAAAACCAAACCAATAAATGTAAACAAAACTTATGATTTACCATATTAATACTTAGGGGACATTTAAACAAATTTGGAAAAACAGAAATAAAATAAACTCACACATACATTGTTTTTGATTACTGTTGGGGGTGGGGAAGCTTCGTCAGTTTTAGCAAGAGTCGCACCTTAATAATGTTCCTCCCCTGCCCTTCAGAAGGCACGATCAGCAGCCACCACTGTGAGGACGGGAGAGCTCTGCTTACTCTGCTCCTTCACACTGTTTTTGTTTCCAGCAATGAGAACAAAACCGAGCAAGACTGGAGAGGGGATTCTCACAGAGAACACTGGCTTTCAGTGTGTTCAAGTGGGATTGTCTGTCCTACACGTGAAGTGTCTAGAATCATTTTCCAGTCTGAGTCTAAATTATATTAGGAGTCAATTACTTCTCCTTGTTAGAAATTAAAACAAAGCCAGGCAGTGGTGGCGCACGCTTTTAATCCCAGCACTTGGGAGGCAGAGGCAGGTGGATTTCTGAGTTCGAGGTCAGCCTTGTCTACAGAGTGAGTTCCAGGACAGCCAGGGTTACACAGAGAAACTCTGTCTTGAAAAACCAAAACAAACAAACAAATAAATAAACAAACAAAAAATTAAAACAAGCTTTAAATTCCATAAAAGATTTTGGAGTAACATTCTGTCGGGGGTAATTTTTAAGAAGGAACAGTTTTCTCTGAGCATAGTGTCTCAGGCCTGCAGCTGCAGCTCTCAGAAGACTGCGGCAGGAAGACAGGATGGTAAGTGGTTCAAGGCGGTTGGATTACATGACTTGGCCTCAAAAACCAAACCAAACCAAAGCAAAAGCAATCAAACAACATGAACTACTGGACAAAGAGAGGGGAGAGAGATAGGTTACAGTAAATGTGGTAAACTTGAGAGTGCAGATGACAGCTCACGGACAGGCAGTGTAAGTTCTTTGAATTCTAGGTTTAGAGATCCTCATGATGAAAGGAAGAGTGAAAGGCCCAGCGGAGCTCAGTCCAGCATGAGTTACCACTCGGAAGATCCCGGCACTACTAAAAGTAATCAGGCAGAATATCATTTCGATATGCGCCTAGAACACACATTAAAAACACAAAGGTAGGGTTTGTGTTTACAGAGGATAAGTACTAGTGACTATGGAAACCAAAGAAAACAATGGAAAATATTAAAATAGAAGAAAGCAGAATACTTTTCAGGTATTCGGATGACTTAAGATTTAAATATATTGAATTTGTGGCTATCTGAAAGAAGTCTTTTCTTCATTAGCAGGCAACTGCTATCACAATTGTCCTTTGAGATCCAGCCCACTGCTGGGCACTGTCTGGGTGGGCTGTGCAAATAGCAGTCCTTTTCGTTGGACTAATCCCGTTTGGAAGACCTTCGCTCGCAGCTTTGGCCTGCCTGACATTGCACACTGTCTCTCCAGCAGTGAAGCTGCTCTGAACTTTGCTTTTCTATTAAAAGATTCTTTCAATTTGCCTTTTTAATAGATGATAAAAGATTAAAAAAGCTGACTGCCAAGTAGCTACTTGAAAAAAGCAAGTGAAAGGGAAAATGCAGAGCAATTTCATGGGCATTATTTCTACATCTGCTCTGCTCAGAATCTGAAAATGTTTCTGAGCGCCAACCATTTCAACATTTATTTAAATAATACTAAAGAATTCTGAAATGCTATCAGAGAAACAGGCCTCAGGACTCTCCTTTAGCTGCTTCTCAGAGAGCCCTTGTAGCAGAGGTGTCTTGGAGGAGGCCGCTTCTGCGCCTGCACAAACAGCTTCTGAGGCTCACCTGTTCCTTAGGAGCCGCATCACTGAGTGCTGCTTGTTCTTTCTTGGCTATTAAAACAGTATGTGCTCATTATTTTAAAATTCTGGAGAATGAGCCACAACGTTACAGCTCATGGGACAATCTCTGCCAGCTGCTGGTATCTTCCTGTCACTTGTTTCCTGCTGTCTGATGGTTAAGTTTGGAGTTCCCATTATTTCCACAAGACTTCTATGTTGTCCCTCCCCCACATACCTACACCCTAGTGTAAACACTTTGTCAGGCAACCCAAACTCTCCAATGCATCATTTGTGTGGCTGTGGTATGGGAACTGCTTGTCCATTCTCCCTCTGGCTGCTTTATTATAAGTATACCTGTGACAAGTTTCACTACCTATATGCAGATTATGATTATTTATTTTTGGCACAAAGCCTCATTTTGCAGCTCAGGCTGACCTAGAACTCAAAGGTAATCCTCTTCTTCTTCTTCCTCCTCCTCCTCAGACTCACGGTACTAGATTTACTGGCACAAGCCATTGTGCCTGATGTAGACTGCTTTTATTTAAAAATTATTTGTAGTAGAATGACTGAGTCATTTATTAATACTTTAAGGGTCTTAATCAATACTGCCAAATTACGTTAACTTTGTTGTCTATTAAAAGCAAAGAAAACATTCTCCAGTAACTTGCATCATTATTGGCAGAAATCGCACTAAGTAAGAACAGGCAGGCGGGGAGACATCTTTGACCACACACTTGTAATTATTTTAGTGCATTATTGTGAATATCAACTACTTTAAAGAGAAATCTGAAGAGATTATAACTTCATCCTCTCCCCGACTGTCAATTCTAATTGTTGAAAGTTATTTTAAAAGAATTGAGCCAGGCTTGGTGGTGTAAAACTTTAATCTCAGCACTCAGAAAGCAGAGGCAGGCACATCTATTTGAGTTTGGGACCAGCCTGGTTTATATAGTTCTAGGACAGCCCAAGACTACATAAAGAGATCCTGTCTCAAAACTCCAAACCAACTAAACAAACAAAAAAAACAAAACCAAACCAAAACAAAACAAAAAAAGAATTAGAACTCTAGAAAGCATTTCAGTTCAAACAAGACAAGCAATGCTAAGGTACCCTACCTAAGCCTCTAGCGTCTCCTCCTGCTGGGCTTCCATTTTCCTGCCGTGCTACAAGTGCCTTCAGAATAATGTTTGTTGCCCCAAACCTTGGCAAAGTGACATGTGTAAGAAATGGCAAGTTATTTTTCTTGGCAAATGCCTGGCTTGTTTCTCTCCTCTTCCTGAGGAAGCCCCCTTCAGGAAACAAAACAATCCATTTTCGATCTCTGCTCCTGTAATTATGTTCAAGGTGCTTCTTGAGAACCAGCAGCTGTTGGTCACGATAGGCTCTTCCCTGGAAGGTATACACACATAGTAAGGACAGTTGAGATTAAAATACCCCAAGATCAAATAGAAACAACTGCTTCAAAACTAGAATGCAATTGTAGGATAGAACAGTGGTTTCCTAAGATATTTCTCTTTTTGAGTGGAGTGGTAAAGGGGGAGGAGCTATTCAAACTTATACAAAGGAACTTCTTCCTGGTGGAAAAGCAACTTAGCAGTTTGGTGCCCACTTAGTGTGGCCAATTACAGTTCCAACCCCAGAAGCAGGGGAGTAACCAGGAGAGCACATGGAGAAGTGCAGGGTAAACGCCATGGGTGATGGGTTTTAGGAAGGAAAATATAAGAGGGATGAAAAGGATCAGGGTGAGCAAGGCACGCGATGCCAGGAGGTAAGAGCTGAACAAAGACCTGCTAGATAACACGAGGGGAGAATAAGCCACACAAGATGAAGGCAGAGCACTCCAACTGACAAGAGTCAAAGAAGATACAGGCCACAGTGGGAAGACACTTGACATGCTAGGGCCTGGAGTGCGAGCACACAACTTGAATCCCAGTACTAGTTGGCAGAGAGAGGTGGATCTCTATGAGTTCAAGACTAGCCTGGTTTACCCAATGAGTTTCAAACCAGGATTGCACAGTAAGACTATGTCTTACAAACAAGGAAACAAAGAAACAAGAGCAGTGCCCTAGTCAACAATGGAGGAGACAGACAGTGGTAGGTGACAAAAAGCAGAGACCAGACAGAAAGGGACTAAGGCATGATGCTGAGTTTTACTGGGTTTTTTTTTTTTAATTAAAAAATGTGTGTGTGTGTGTGCGTGTGTATGTGTGTACATGTGCATACAATAGCCTGTACTGCACTATGTACACCACTGTGTGTGAGCATGTGCACACAGTAGCCTATGCACCACTGTGTGTGTGAGCATGTGCACACAGTAGCCTGCGCTCCACTTATGTACACTACTTGCCTACAAATGCTCAGGGAGGCAGAGGGTGTTGGATTTCCTCCAAATAGAGACATAGGTGGCTGTGAGCAGTCTGACTTAAGTCCAGGGAACCAATCTCAGGCCCTCTGTAAGACCAATATGGATATGAACTGAACTATCCAGCTGCCACAGGACTAAGCCTTAAATGCAAAATTGCTGGATAATTTTGAGCAAAGAAATGTCATAATATTACTTATATCATAAGTAGTCTTTTTTTTTTGTTTTGGTTTTTCGAGACAGGGTTTCTCTGTGTTGCCCTGGCTGTCCTGGAACTCACTCTGTAGACCAGGCTGGCCTCGAACTCAGAAATCCACCTGCCTCTGCCTCCCAAGATAAGTAATGTTTTATCTATACAGCAGCCAAGTTTTACTGATTTCTGTGATGACGAAAAAAAAAAAGACCATTGGGTAAGTCAGGGAAATCCTGCAGTAGCCAACAATGACAATGCTCAGCCACACGTAGGCATGAGGAACAGACGCATGCAGGGAAACCCCTGGAAGCAGAGGGGACAAGGGCATGAACTGGATCTTAGCTGTGAGAAAGCATGACATGGAGGCTGGAAACAGACAGCAGACAAAGCTACTGGAAGGCCCCACCCTCCAGTCAGCATCAGAAGCCTCCTTCCTGTCAACGCAGGCCAGCCAGCACAGTCACAAAGCTCCTTAAAGTAGGTGTGCTTCCAGTCTTCAGATTAAATGTACCACAATTAAAAAAAAAAAGACTTTTAAAGCTTACTGAATTAAGACTATGATTAAAAAGTATAATTAAGCAGGTGACTCATACATTTAATCCCAGCACTTAGGAGGCAGAGGCAATCAGTTCTCTCTAAGTGAGGCTAGCCTGGTCTACAAAGTGAGTTCCAGGATAGCCAGAGATATTATACAGAGAAACTCTTTCTTGAAAAATGAACAAACAAAAGCAAAAAAAACCCCAAAACCACCTTGTCCTCTTTCTTCTGAGAGAGGGTCTTACATGTCCCAGGCTGGCCTTGAACTTGCTCTGCAGAATGACTCTGAGTTCTCTACCCTCCCACTTCTGTCTAAAGGGCTAGGAACACAGGCGTGAGCCAACACATTTGACTAAATTAACATCTTTTCTAGACCCTTCACTCCCATGTTATAGAAGCTTTACTCCTAATCTCCGAGAGGACAATGTTGTTCTTTTAGAAATTAATTTTCAGTTACTTTGAAATAGTCTGTATGGCTTCAAAACCTTGACTGCCATTAACTGAAAAGATTTGAGTACACATTTTTTTCATTTTTACACTTCAGAGCACACTGAGAGTTTAACTTCTTGATGCTCACCATCAACATCAACAGTTACACTTCCCAACTTCAGTCATCTCCTCAGACTTTACCACGTAAGAGGACCAGCTAGCCTTCCCACCGGACCCTCCACAGCTGCTGATCTTTCTGTTGCTCACTCTTGTGCTTTCTACTTGCTTCTGCCTTATGCCGTAATTTGTGGTTCCTCAGAACAAGATTCATCTGGTTTATCAGGTATTCATTAAGAACTTCTGTGCACAGGACCATACAATCAAGATTAAAGTTGTTAAGTACATGAACATCGAGTAACCACGGCACTGGTATTTCTCCTCTTTGGAAGAAGGAAGTGTGTGGTACTCAGTGGGTGTGAGAATGCTGCCGTGCAGTGCTGACTGGGGAAGAAGTAACCATTCTCTCGCCTACGGGAGACTATTCCTTGAGTTTACAACCCTTCCCAACTCATCTCCAGTCATTTGATCCATATACCAAATATTATATTCTCTTCAACATTTTCTGGATCAATAGATACCTGATGTACTCATTTGGGTTTCTATGAATTTCCCCATCACTTCCTATTATTATTATTCTATTTATTTACTATTAATAATCTCTCTGCTGGTAACTACGATATCTTCTTACCACATAGCAAGGTACTTAAGACAACAGTAACAGTAGAAGTCAGATGGTGGCAGTGTGCTCATGGTAAGATGCTGAAGGCAGCAGGCACTGTTCATGTGGCTCCTACAGCTTCTTGAGGGAGCCCACCTACTGTTCTCATGTGAAGATGAGGAAAAGGAGCATTTCATTTGCCAATCCACCCGGCTTATGACATGAAGAGCGCGAGTGTGGCAGGTGCTTGGTCATGTGTGTTTCAAGTGAGATTGAAATAAATGTTTACAGAGCAAAGACTCAAAGGAGGAGCCAAGGCCGGAGAACAAGGTCTACTTGATACTCAGCCCAACTAGTTTGTCATACCACTTTTTCCATAATCAACATAATCAATCACTTTAACTGTCTGAACACTGAAAGAACAACGTTCGTCACTCACCTGTCTTATAAAGAAGTCTCCATGAATAAGAGAGACAATTCCAAAGTTTGTATACTTGAAAATATGATCCATCAGCCACATCATCTGAGCCACAACCTGAAACATTTAAATCAGACATGGTTACTTCAGTGTTGGAGACAAGAAACTTGCTACACTGTTGCAGGATATTTGATCACACTGTGAACCCTAATATTGTGTTATTTACTGAAAAAAGCTGTTTCTAGTTGTGGTGTGGCTCAGCATGAACACCCACTTTTAATTATGTCCAAACAATGAAGGTAAAGTTAGTTTGCAGCAGGAAGCAGCCATGTTTGAAAGTGATGTGTATTTAAGCGGTAGTCAAAGTGAAGAATCAAAGAAAGGTTTGATAGAATAGGTGTCTTAGTTTGGGTTTACTGCTGTGAAGAGACACCATGACCAAGGCAACTCTAGTGCCACTACCTAGGCCTTGAATTCAAACTACCATAAAAGGATATATTCAAACTACCATAAAAGGATATGTCCAATTCTCACAAGGAGAAACTATTTAAGGGGCAATGCAGAGAGAAAGGAAGAGGTGGTTTTGCAAAAAGACATGTTGCAGAGAGAGACAAAGCTAGACATTGGTAAAGACAAATAATGAGAAGGAGCCAGAAGATTAGAACAGATTGCCAAAGTTAGTACAAGGCCAAACAGAGCAATTCAGGAGAAGCTGAGAGAAGCCAGATTGAATCTGTCAGCTTGGAGCGGAATTTGAGCCAGAACAATTGAGTTCAACCAGCTAGGCAAAGTTCAGAAAGAGCTAGAAAGTGTGAGCTTATTCAGCAGTAAGTCTCTAGGCCTAAAACATTCTAGGCCTAGACATGATTGTATGGAGGCTAGAAGCTTTGAGGATTAGCCCTAGGTTAGCAGACTGAAGCAGTAAGCCTCAGGGAAGACAATTACAACAGAGTAAAAAGTACTTTTACACTACACTCTAGCCAAGCCTCCATAATCATCCAAGCTTCCCCGCTCCCCCACTAGGGGGGTGGAGGGGTTGTGATAGGGTTTCTCTGTGTCCTGGTTGTCCGGGAACTCACTTTGTAGATCAGGCTGGCCTCCAACTGAGAGATAAGCATGCCACTGCCTCCTCAGTGCTGGGGAATTAAAGGCACACACCACCATTCCCAGCTCATCTAAACATATTTTGAATTAGTGATGAAGTATATTTTTTCATTTATTTTTTATTCTTTTGAGAATTCCATATGAATACTGCGTTTACATAAGTACCCATCCCACGTCTTCCAGTGACGTCCTCTTCAGTCATTGTTGTTACATACACATGTATGTATATAAACCCAGCCTGCTAAGTCCATTTAGTGTTGTTATATACACATGTATGTATATAAATCCAGCCTGCTAAGTCCATTTAGTGTTGTTACATACACATGTATGTAC